TTTAGTATTCCTTTTGCAAACTGATCGGTTTATACAGTATGTTGTATCACCGTTCGGTTTATTCCTATGTTTTGTGTCAAACTTATGTTACTTTGTAAAGTTTTTAAGTTTTATGGTTATTTTGGATAACTGTAATGTTAAATACTTTACTAACTCTGGTTGAACTGATTTATCTTATTATTATATGTGATTAATCTATGATATAGTATTATGTTATATTTTGGGATGTTACATTAATGGTATCAGAGCAGTTTTTTCCTTAGAACCCTGTAGGTTATGAGTATGTTATGCTTGTGATGTGTACTTAGTGTTAGTTTAGACAATATCCTTATCTCCTTGGTTTAGATTGATGGTTCTTTCGCTATGAATGATCAGAGATGGCATCTCAGTCTCCTTCTTCTTCTCCAACTACGAATTCTCATACATCAGATTTAATGAGAATGATGGAGTCGGTAGTCACGACAATGCAGCAGTAGAATGCTGCATTAGTACAACAGAACATTGTCGCTCTACAACATCTGGAAACCGCTCGGTTATCAACGGAGGTATCTCAGAGACAATATGTGGATCTGATGGTGAGAGGCAGAACCACAACTGGACCATCTACCTCTTATGCTAATCCTCAGCAAGAGTGGAGTCTTGAAAGTTTTCTTCAACATCATCCGGCCAAGTTTGATGGCAAGTGCAGCCCGGATGAAGCAGGCCAATGGTTCCGAGATATGGAATGAATTTATAATGCCAAGAGATGTCCGAACGAGAATAAATTGGCGTATTTTGAGATCATGTAGACGGGAGAAGCTAGTCACTAGTGGAGTAGCATGAGGATGCTACTGGAAAGCAACAATACTCCTATTTCTTGGGCAATCTTCAAGACGAAGTTCTATGCCGAATACTTCCCTAATAGTGTTCGGTTTGCTAAGGAGGTGGAATTTCTTGAATTGGTTCAAGGAGGGATGTCAGTATCAGAATATGCAGATAGATTTAAACATTTGTTGAGGTTTCATATGCTGGCCATGAATGAGGAATGGGAGTGTAGAAAATTTGAAAATGGATTGCGAGGGGATCTCAAGTTGATGTTGGCTGGTTTGTGCATCAAGCAGTTTCCCTCTTTGGGGGAGAGAGCTAAGGTCTTAGAGAAGAGAAAGATGGAAATGGAAAGGCAACAGTTGAACGTTGGAGGACCCATTTTCTCCGGGGGTGGTCTTGGTTCTAGGAAGATTCCTTACGCTCGGCCTTCTTCTTCAGGAGTTAGAGGTCAGTCTTCAAGACCTCCAGTACCGTTCGGGCATCAAACCGTTCCAGCTCATATTAGATTTTTTACTTGTGGGGGTCTGCACTATCAGTTGGTTTGTCCTCAAAAGGATAGTGGCAGATGATGTAATCGGTGTAGGAGTGTAGGGAACTATGAGAGAGATTGTAATATGGGAAGAAGATCTAGTGGTCAACCACAACATGCAGGAAGGTTTTAGCCTAGAGGAAGCAGCAAGTTTAGGTAATCTTATTGTTAGTTCTTGCTTGCTGTATGGAATATCTTGTTGTGTGCTTTTTGATTCGGGGGAAACACATTCCTTTATCTCGAAGGAATGTGTTCAGAAGTTGGGATTGTCAGTAGATGAGCTTCAGTTTGATCTGGTGGTGTCAACCCCAACAGTTGGGAAGGTTAGGACGGCTACTTATTGTACTAAATGTCCAATAGTAGTTGAGGGTCGTCGGTTCAAAGTGAACCTGATTTGTTTACCTCTTCAAGGGTTAGAGGTGATATTAGGAATGGATTGGTTAGCTGCCAATTGTATTTTTATTGATTGTGGAGAGAAGAAACTTTTGTTTCCAGATGAAGAACAAGAAGAGTCGTTGGCAATCGGTCAGTTGAGATAGGATATACTGGAAGGTGCTAGTTGCTTTTTGATACTATCTCTTTTGGAAGTGGAAATGGGTGAGCAGAGTTTAGACGGATCGGTGCAGTGTATTCAAATGATAGACCATTCGGTCGTAAATGAATTTTTGGACGTTTTTCCTGAAGAGATACCAGGGTTGCCTCCTCCTAGAGAAGTGGAATTCTCAATTGATTTGGTGTCAGGAGCACGGCCGATATCTATAGCTCCTTATAAAATGTCTCCAGCAGAGCTCACTGAATTAAAGAAGCAAATTGAAGAGTTGATGGATAAGCAATTCATTCGACCAAGTGTATCGCCTTGGCATGCTCCTGTACTGCTAGTTAAGAATAAAGATGGTAGTTCTCGGCTCTGTATAGATTATAGGCAGTTGAACAAGTTGACCATTAAGGCTACTGTGTTTTCTAAGATAGATCTGAGGTCTGGATACCATCAGATTTTAGTTAAGGAGGGAGATGTGCTGAAGACAGTCTTCCGGTCTCGATATAGCCATTATGAATATGTAGTAATGTCGTTCGGTGTGAAGATAGCTTCCAAGAGCTAAAGCAAAGGTTGACGAGCGCTCCGGTGTTAGTTATTCCTGACACGAGCAAACCCTTTGAAGTATTTTGTGATGCCTCTTATCAAGGATTGGGTTGTTTGCTGATGCAAGAAGGGAAGGTGGTGGCGTATGCTTCAAGGCAACTTAAAACTCATGAGAAAAACTATCCAACCCATGATTTGGACTTAGCAGCAGTGGTGTTTGCATTGAAGATTTGAAGGCATTATCTTTATGGTGTTTGGTTTCAAGTGTTCAGTGATCACAAAAGCTTAAAATATCTTTTTGATCAAAAGGAACTAAACATGAGGCAGAGAAGATGGATGGAATTCATAAAAGATTATGAATTTGATTTACTTTACCATCTTGGAAAAGATAATGTAGTAGCTGATGCTTTGAGCAGGAAGACTGTGCATGTGTCTACTATGATGGTACGAGAATGGAGTTTGATTGATAGCTTTAGAGATTTAAAGCTGCAAGTTGAATTAGAGCCGAACGGTATCAGTTGTTATCACTTAGTAGTGGAAAGTGAACTGTTAAACCGAATACGAGAGAAGCAGTCAGTAGATGGAGAGTTGTAGAAATCAAGAAGATTGATTGGTAGTGAACAAGGTAAAGAGTTTGCTTTGGGACCGAGTGGTATTCTGCAGTTCAGAGGAAGAGTTTGTATACCTAATGATAGTGAGTTGAAGAGAATGATTCTTAGGAAGGACATCAAAGTCGTTTTAGTATGCATCCAGGCATGACTAAAATGTATCATGATCTCAAGGAGTCATTTTGGTGGCCAGGAATGAAGAGTGATGTGGCTCGGTTTGTGACGTCATGTTTAATGTGTTTGATGCATGTGTAGCCATATATTGATCATATAAGGCAGTAAGACAATGTCTAGCCTTGATCATATGAGCTAAAGCATTGCAAAAAATTGCTCCTGTTTCACAAAGTCTGCACAAAATTTAAAAATCTGGTGCAATCTCATAAATCTGTTTTAGTGGAAATTTTTTGTTGCTTAAGCATTGCACAAGTTTGTTTGATGTTTTTAAGCATGTCTCAAGGTGTGGCAACTCATATTAAGCATTGAATTGCAAAAAGCATAGCTTAGTTGCCTATATCCAGTAGTTTTTGTGTTCATTGTTTCACTTGGAGCTTTTTAGCGAGCTCATTTCATTGCATGTGTATTAGGTGTTTAAAAATTCTCTAGCTGATTATCAACAGTTAGATCTAGTATATTAGGACTTTCCTAGAGTCTTTGTGCTACTTTCCTCATTTCAATTCACTAATTTCTAAATTTGGTGTTGTTTTGGTAAACATTTGCTGCATAATTTGCTATAGCAAGTGCGATTTGTTGAATCTTGATGTGTTTGTGCATGTACAATGTTTGAGCAAGTTTATTTTACCATTTAAAAGTTGTGTGCAATGTTCAAATGGTCATTTTTAAGCCTATATGCAGAATCACCTCTTAAACCATCAAAATTGGCTTTAAAATGGAAGTGAACCAATGAATTCACATTGCAATCTATTTTCAACCTGTTTCAATGTTTAAACATCTTTAAAATGATGATACAAAGCTGTTTCATGCATCAATTGAGCTATTGAATCACTTTCAATCAATTTTGGATTTAAAACGACCAATTTAGAAGCATTTTTCTAGTGCAGTTTTCAAATTCCAGTGTTGTTTCAAATATGCATTCTTTAATTTCCATTTCTGGATTGGCATAAGCTGGTTTTGTGTTTTCAAACACAATTACATGTTCAATGCATTGTAATACAATCAAAAAAAGCAAAAAAAACCATGCAATGCAGCTTTGAACCCCAAAATTCAAAAATCTAAAAATCTGATACTCATTTGGGGACTTTCACCAAACAATTTGCTATTTTTATCAAACAGTTTGCTGCACTTTGAATTTGATATGAGTTTTACTTTTTCTAGCTTGTTTAGTCTGTTCTAGTGCCTTTCCTAGGTTCCTTTTGTGTCCATCCTTTGATTCCATAATTCAATTCATTTGCATTAAACTTGTTTGGCTTTCAATTGTGCACTTTAATCTACTTTCGTGAAACTAAAATCTAGTGCAGTAACAGAATGTTGGTGTGAGTGGTTCGATTTTTGTGCATTGGTGTTGTGATGTTATTAAAGTATCCAAGCAACGAAATTCCTTCTCCAATAGGGTAGCATACTAGGAAGTGGAGAACTTGTTGAATTGACTTCAAGGATTGATCTCAAAGCTGCCATTTAGCTTGCTGATCCAACAACACTTCACCAACAAACACTACATTTTTCACCTTTGTTTGGAGCTGCACACAGTCCAAAATTTGAAATTTCACCTTTTGTATTGTTTAACCTTAGTTTCAT